TTTCCTCTGCTCCTGGATCTTAAAAAACTCAACTATTAAGGTTTTCAGGGATGTGATCAGGGGACTAGGCAACAAAGAGGAAATCTGCTTTGTCCTTGCTTTCCCTCTTACTCTCCTCTCTCTGCCATTTATGATCCTCTCATTCTTCAGCACAGGAGATGGGGTTTGTTTCTTTGACTTAGTTTTATTTTCTTCTGAAAGTGGAAAGCCATGGTCTTACAAAAGATGTTTTGTTCAAATCTTTTGGTGTGTCAATAATTATTCTCTGTTTCTGTCAAGCCACGTCTTCTGCAAAACCAGAAAGAGATTCCTTTTTATCCCTCTCCTTTCTTTGCCATTACATCTTTCTCTTAAAACAATAATCATAGAATACTTAGCTGCTTGGAGTGAAGTGATGGTCAATAAGAATTGAGAGAATATTGGGCAAGCTAGGTCTGATGGCATGTTTCTATACTACCAGTTACTTGGGAGGTGGAGGCATGAGAATCTTTTTAGCAATTCTGGAGTTCAAGGCCAGCCTGGGCAACATACTGAGACCCAAGTCTCAAAAGCAAAATGAAACAAAATATGGGGGTTATGTCTTAATATTATCTATACTTATGAGAAAGAGACTAATAACAATAATTATTAAAAGTCTCTCAGCATCCCTGTTCCATCCAAGTGAAACCAGGTCCTTAACCCTAAGAAATAGTGCATGTTCTTGGCTCTTTTGCTGTTCCTTGTGAAGGTAAAATGTCAGAACTTACAATCCCCCATCAAAATAAGCAATCTGTCAGTAGAGAACGTTGTCTACTAAAAGGTTTTTCTTTTCACCAGAAGTTCAGTTTGTTCGTTTGGTTTTTACTGTACTAGGGATTGAACTCAGGGATACTTAACCAGTGAGCTATATCCCCAGCCCTTTTTAGTTTTCATTTTGAGACAAGGTCTCGATAAGGTGCTCAGGCTGGCTTGGAACTCGTAATCCTCTTGATGCTCAGGCTGGCTTGGAACTCGTAATCCTCTTGTCTCAACCTCCAGAGTTGCTGGGATTACAGGTGTATGCCACTGAGTCTGGCAAAATCCAGTTTTGAGTGGTTTTGGGAGGTATGATTTTTTCATTTGATTTGGTTCTAGGAATATGACAGTTTATATAAAGCTGTTACTTGACTGTGAAAAATCTAGGCACAACGAGAGAGTAACATTCGAATTAGTCTTTTTGCAAGTAGAAACCTATGTAACAGAAAGAATCACATTATTTTTTTTTTCCAAGAGTGTGGCAGCATCCTCAAAGCACCTTGGCAGTGTTAACTTCTATCTTGAAATATGTTGAAATTAGTAATAATTACAATATAATCAACCAGAGATATGAAAAATTGTGCTCTATATGTATAATAAGAATTGTAATGCATTCTGCTTTCATATATAAATAAAAAATAATTACAATAAAGTTTTAACTATTCAAGTTTAACAATAGTTATTTACACTTATTGAGTCTTACTATGTATCAGGTACTAAAATGCCTCAATTTAATCATTATAGCAATCTTAAAAGAGGTATATATTTTTTATCCTAAGTTTTAAATGACACAAGTGAGACATAGTTTAAGTAATTTGTACTTATCAAAACTCACATGCTAATATCTATTAGAATTTTATTTGAACTCCAGAACTCTGATGGCAGAGTAAAAGTGCTTAATTAATAAGAGTACACATCATATAATGATTAGGAGGACAATGGCATAAAAGTGACTATTTTAGCAATGATAATCTAAAAACTGATTGTTAAGCTAGTAGATCAGAATAATAATTATTATTTTTTTGGTACCTGGGATTGAATTTAGAGGTACTTGACCACTAAGCCACATCCCCAGCCCTATTTTGTATTTTATTTAAGAGACAAGGTCTCACTGAGTTGCTTAGCAATTCACAGTTGCTAAGGCTGCTTTGAACTCCCTTTCTCAGTCTCCCAAGCCGCTAGGATTACAGGTGTGTGCCACCGCGCCCAGCAGGATAAAAATTTTAATGTGAGTTTATTATTATGTAATTCACTAGTTTGCAGCCCAGACATGAGACTAGGTTAGAGAAAGATTTGACTTTCCTGGTATCAAAGGACATTGAGCAGTCTGAAGTTCATGGTCTACTTTTCAGATAATATTTGTAAATAAACAAAATTCACAGGATTGCAAATAAATCAGTTATTTTGAAAGTTGTCAAAATATTAAAAAGCAAATTTGTGATATAACTTGCTTTTTACAATGTACTACATTAAATACAACCTAGCAGCAAGTGTAATTATTACTGTATTATGAAAATGCTGAATGATGTGTACAGTATCTTCAGAACCTCAGCAACTGATGTGAAATGAAAATAAATGTGATTACTGTTGGTTAAAAAAAAAGAATAAGAAATACAAATGGACAACAAATACATGAAAAAATGTTCAGCGTCCTTAACAATGAAGAAAATGCAAATCAAAACTGCACTGATATTTCACCCCCTCCAGTTAAAATGGCAATCATCAAGGATACAAACAAAAAAGGAACATTGTTACTGGGATGGCAAATTGGTACAACCACTTTGGAAAACAGCATGAAGATTCTTCAAAGACTAGCAACAGAACCATCACATGACTCAGCTGTCCTGTTCCTTGGTATCTATCCAAAATAACATAAATCAGCTTTTATAGTGATAATTTCATACCAATGTTTATAGCAGCACAATTCACAATATCAAGATATGGAACCAAGCTAGGTGCCTGTCAACAGATGAATGGTATATAAAATATGGCATTTATATACAATGATTTTTTTTTTTTGTACTGGGGATTGAATTTAGGGGCACTCGACCACTGAGCCCCAGCCCTGTTTTTATTTTATTTAGAGACAGGGTTTCACTGAGTTGCTTAGTGCCAGGTTTCATTCTCGACTAAAACACTCAGGGGTCACTCCAGATAAACTGGGATAACTGGGCTGCGCAAAATAACCACACAAGAGACACAAATACCTTTTTCTTTGAGGTTGCTGTGATGGCTCCTCTGACCTTAAGGGTCCACAGGAAGAGAGACAGCAAGAGACCACATGCTGACCCCTTTTATTGAGGAGAAGCTATTCAAATGTGGCAAGGGGTCAGGTTTCCGGGGGGCTGAGTCTAGCTTCATGATGTCTGCTGTCATCAGGTTGATTGACATCTAGGTAGGCCACACCCAAGGACACAGTAAGATAAGGGGACACACAAAAGGTGTTTCCATGGAACATTCTATCCCAAACAGAGCAAAGGGTTATATTACAAAGGAACAGGTGAGCATAGCTCCACCCGTGGGGCTGTAACAAGACACACCCATGCGGGAGACACCGTCCCAGGAACCCAAGAAGGGTGGGGAAAGCTCTGCCACATTTCTGTGAATGAGCGCCTCAGCACCCAGCCAGAGAGTGTGACTCAGTCACATGCAAGGTTGTTCTCCCACAGCTTAGCACTTTGCTTTTTGCTGAGGCTGGCTTTGAACTTGCAATTCTCCTGCCTCAGCCTTGGGAGCTGCTGGGATAATGGGCATGCACCACTGAGCCTGGCCACAATTGAGTTTTATTCATCCATAAAAAAGAAATTATGTCATTTGTTGGTAATGAATAGTGAACACCATGGTAAGTGAAATACACCAGAGCCAGGAAGCCATAAGTTGCAGGTTTTCTCTCATAATATGGAGGCTAAAGAGAAATAAAGAAAAGGAATAAAAAAAGGGATTCTGAGACCACACTTTCATATATATATATATAAAATCATAATGCACTAATTAAAAGATGAATGATAACAGAAGGGAGATCAGTAAGTAGAGCAATCAGGTCAGGGGAAGAAGGAAGGGGAGGGAAAGTGAATGTTCTGGGCAATGAGATTGATCAAATTATCTTATGTATGTTTGAATATGACATAATTAACCCCACTATTATGTATAATTATAATGCACCAATTACAAAAAACCCTCAAACTAAAATTTCACCCTGGTCCCTTGGTCTAGGGTGTAGTTCAGTGATAGGGTGCTTGATTAAAAAGTCATTTTTTGTCCCCCTCCTTTTAAAACATCAAGTTTAGTGCTTATATTCAGGGTATATTACATGCCACTTCAAGGTGAGAGTAGAAATCTGTTGCTTTTTTATAATTCTCATTTTTACATATCCTAAGATCAGGCAGCAAACAGGGCAGGAACCTTCATTTCACTGGATGGGAAGGGGGTAGTTCTGAGGGGTGAAAATGAGCTCTGATCTTTCCTTCCAAAAATCCACCCTAGCTGCTGCTATTCAAAGCTTGTGGCTTTTAAGACACTCTAAATGCTGCATTCAAATATCAACGGTTTTGTTTTCTCAGAAGAAAAAAAGGGTAAACATCTAAGGATAACTTATGCCTAAGCCCATTGAATCCAAATTGCTTAGCTCTAACAGAACTACAGGTCAAAGCATTTACACAGGTTATCTTCGTGGATGATCAAATTATAAAATTACAATAACACAGTTATTACAGGTTGGGTACCAGCCCGGCAGTCTGTTGGTCAGTATGTTAAGTGATCTATGTCTTTAATTCTCCAAATGACCTTAGGAAGTCAGCTTTTTTTTTTAATATTTATTTTTTTAGTTGTAGTTGGACACAATACCTTTATTTTACTTATTTACTTTTATGTGGTTCTGAGGATCGAACCCCGCGCCTCACACGTGCTAGGGTTGCGCCGTACAGCTGAGCCACAACCCCAGTCCCTGAGGTCAGTTTTTTTATTCCCATTTTCCAGACGAAAGAATTGAAATCCAGTTAGTAGCCGAGCTGAGGATGGAATGGGAACGACTCCAAAGCTCTCCACACCACGAAAGGCGAAGAAATTAGCGAAAGAATACACCGAAGTAGGAGAGCAGCAGGGAGGAGAGCACACGAAACAGACAACCACACACGCGCTCGCCCCGGAGCGCACTAAGGCGGAGGGGGGGAGGCAGAGGCGGAGGTGGGATCGTGGATTTCCGGTCTGGCGCCGGAAGTGGCTCCTCAGCGCCGCCGCCAGCTTTCCGCAGAGAAAAGCGCACTGGAGTTTGTGCTACTAGTGGTGCACGAGGTTCGTGCGTTCTGCTTTTAAACGCGTCTGTAAATCGAGATGTCGCATCCGTCCCCAGAAGCTAAGCCTTCCAATCCCAGTAACCCCCGAGTCTTCTTTGACGTGGACATCGGAGAGGAGCGAGGTGAGCGAAGTTGTTGGCTGAAGGGCCCCAGGAGGAGGGGCTGGGGGCGCTTGGGGGACTCGCAGGGTGCCTTTCGGGCCGGGGGCTGCTCGGTAGCACTGAGGCATGGCTGCCTGGGTCTCATCTGGAGCAAGATCGGCATGCGGCGTGAGGGTGGAACCAGGGCTTTTGTGCTAATGCTGTCGGTCATGAGGAAGTTTCTGGAAATTTCTAGTTCAGGAATTGTGGTGGTCTTAATATTTCACTTGCCTTCTACCTGTGCACCACCAGCTTGTCACAAAATAAGCTTAATTTTATATTTGCCATGGGGCTCTTCAGAAGCCTCGTGTGTCTTCGGGGCTCCAGTCACTCAACACGTCTTTTGGCACACAAAATGTGTGTGTGTATGTTATGTGTGTATATGTATGCACATATATGTGCACCTGCCATGTTACTTATAAATTAAAGCCACTTGTTTGCTTAGTGCTTTTTCTTTACTACTAATTTTAGAGGTCAGATAAGCAAACGTTTTTTCTATTTTGGCATTGGGGAATTGAACTGTTGCCTAGGATACCTACCTGCTTAAAAGTTCCTAAGGCCTTGTGAAGTTATATTTATAACTGAATTGTTTTTCTATAACATGTTACAATTGCTGACCAGGCAGTGTGTTTGAATGCATGTATGGGACACACACATTTTTTACATGTACCTTCAGCTTGTTTTGGAGCTAATTCCAAAACAGTTTTGGAATTTTCGCATTTTAAGGCCTTGTATAGAAGAGGAATTTTTTCAGCTTTTATTTCGAAGACTGCACTAGACAGTTTGCACAAAGTACAGAGAAGGACTACAGATACATATAAAACTGGGCCAGCCTGACCACTGAAAGGGTATTTTATTTTATTTTTTAGTACTGGGGATTGAACTTGAGCACTGGACCATTGAGCCACATCTTCAGCCCTATCTTGTATTTTATTTAGAGACAGGGCACCTTGCTTTTGTTGAGGCTGACTTTGAACTGAACTTGGGATCCTCCTGCCTCAGCCTCCTGAGATGCTGGGATTACAGGTGTGTGCCACTGTGCCCGGCTTCATTTTCTCTTAGTGGTTGGTTGGTGATTGGAAATTCTGAATACAGTTTATTTGGGGGCTCATGGTTTCAGAGCTCTCAGTGCATAGACATCTGGCTCTAGTCCTTGGGGCTTTGAAGTGAGGTTGAACATCATGGCAAAGAGTGTGGTGGAGGGAAGCAGCTCACATGATGATCAGAAGCAAAAGAGACTCCATTCACCAGATATAAAATATGTACCCCAAAGGGATGCCCCCAGGGACCCATGTCTTCCAGCCACACCCTACCTGCTTTGGGTTAACTGAGTGATAACTTAGGAGTTAACCGTATCAGGGGATTAATTCAGTGACTGGGTTAAGGCTTTTATAACCTCTTTCATTTCGCCTCTAAGCCTTCTTGAATTGTCTCACACATGAACTTCTGTGGAACACCTCACATTCCAAACCATAACACCAAGGGAAATTAAATTTGTATGTTGAGATATCTGCATTCCCATGTTCACTGCAGCATTATTTGCAATAGCAGAAATAATGGCATCAATCCTGTAATAGATAAAATGTGTATATATACACACATACACACCAAGGAGTATACTATTCAACCCTAAAAAAAGAAGGAAATAGTGTCATTTGCAATATGGAAGAACCTTGAGGACATTATGTTTAGGGAAATAAGCCAAATACAGGAAGACAAATACCACATGATCTCACCTGAATGTGTCATCTAAAAAAGTTGAACTCATAGAAGTAGAGAGTAGAATGGTAGATACCAGGGGCTAGGGAGAGGTTGCTCAAATGATATTCAGTTGGAGGAGCTATATGTTCATGATATTTTTTAAAAAATATTTTTGTTTTAATTGTACATGGACACAGTGCCTTTACGTTAATTATTTTTTTGTGGTGCTGAGGATCGAACCCAGTGCCTCACTTGTGCTAGGCAAGTATTCTACCACTGAGCTATGACTCCAGCCTCTAAGTTCATGCTCTTTTGTACAACATTGTGATTGTGTTCTTGAAATTACCAAAAAAAAAAAAAAAAAAAAAGACGAAGAGAATTTAGTAACTCACGAGTGATTTGTTACCATAGTTGTACCAATTATCCTTTTGTCATTTGGTGGTTTGTTTTTGCATACTGACACAATTTCATTTTCTTTTCTTTTAGTTGGTCGAATCATCTTAGAATTGTTTGCAGATATTGTACCCAAAACTGCAGAAAATTTTCGTGCATTGTGCACAGGAGAAAAAGGCATTGGATCCACGACTGGGAAACCTCTCTATTTCAAAGGATGTCCTTTTCATCGAAGTATGTATACATTTTCTGAATCTATCTTCAAACAGACAAATTCTGTTCTTCAGGAGTTAGGGAAGAAAACATTGAGATGGGAATAAAGGTTAAAAAGTACTGGTGTAGTTAGTTCCTAAGAGGATGCTTTGTCATGAGAAGTAATAGCTCAATTTCATAAAGACTGGACTGTGAGGTGGAATTAATTATGGGCGAGTACTAGGGTTTATCTATAGGGAAATGGACTACACCTGTCTTTACAAGTTTTTCTTCACTCCTAAACCATTTGATTGAGAAAGAAAGAGCACAGCCATGATAAAGTGAGCTGGCCTTAGGTAGTTGACTGTCTGGTGACAGAAGAGTTATTTTTACTTCTTGGGCAGGATTGCTTGAGAAGGCTGCAGATTGTAGATTCAGTGTCTTGGACACACTGGTGATTAAAGTGTATCATTTTGTACTTTGTAATCATTCTTTTATTTAGTGTTTACTTAACAGTTCCCCCAATAGACTGAAGGTTCTATAAGTTTAACTATATGTTCTTATCACTTTGTCTTTAGCACCTCGTATAATTATTGAGTAATCACTCAGTAAATGTTTATTTATGAATAACATGAATACATTTTTTTTTGTTTTTGCAGTGCTCACTGCAAGCACTCTATCACTGAGCTATACTCAGTCCTGTGGTTATATGTTTTTTAAAAATAATTTATTAAGAAAAATTAGGATCAATTATTAAATGTTTTAAGCATTTATTTGCTTATGTGTTTCATAAGACATCAATGTGCTAACAAAATATATGTAGAAAATAGTTAACATAGCAGGCCCAAGGCTGCTATCCTTATAAAGGTCTGCTTCTAAGAGTAGCACTTAGCTGGAGTTTGGGAGCTTGGCACTTAAACCATTCCTTAAATCATAAGGGTGATTTACTGTCTTTAGACCGTTTATACAAATGTATAACTTATGTTGAATATCTGCTTTCTTTTTCTTTTTGGGAGTCTGGAATTTTGGAATATGCTAGGCAGAGTATCTATGTGATAAGGCCTCCATAAATACCTGGGATGCTGAGTCTCTAATTGGCTTTCTTGGGCACAACTGTTGTACATGTTTCTACATCTTCATTGCTGGGAGAAATGTGTTCCATGATACTTCATGGGAGGGAGGCAGCATAATGAAGCCTGCACATGGATTTCTTCAGATCCTGCCTATGTCTTTTTCCAGCTGTGTATCCTTATGATTATAATACAATCAAATGTTGAGACCATGAGTCCTAGGGATCTCTGAACATGGGAGTGATTTTGGTAGCTCTTGATATAAAGGGATAATTTTACTGAAGTATTTTTATTAGGGTGTAAAAAATACTAGGACTAATTGGTCTTCATTCAGCAAACATTATTGAATAGCTACATACATAGTTACAAGGAAGAAAAAGAGTTGCTGTACTTAAAGAACTCATTGGTGGAAGAAATAGATCATTATGTAAGATGAAGTTAGAGTCAAGATATGTTGGAGAAAACTTAAGATATCCATATTTTGGGTTTCATTGACAGTTTTACTTGTAGGTGATCAGGTGGTAAAATGTAGATTGGACTCAGATTGCAAAAAGTATAGAGTTGTTAAGATAGGTCCGAAGAAAACCAAAGATTAAATGTTCTCTCTGATATGTGGATGCTGATTCACAAAAGGGAGTGGAAAGGAGTGGAGGGGATTGGAATGGGGGGAAGGAGGAGAAGGAAGTGGGAATGGGAATGGGAAAGACAGTAGAATGATTTGGACATAACTTTCCTATGTTCATATATAGATACATGACCAGTATAACTCCACATGTACAACCACAAGAACGGGAAGTTGTACTCCATGTATGTATGATATGTAAAGTACATTCTACTGTCATGTGTAACTAAAAAGAATAAATAAAAAAGATAGGTGGAGAAAGACAAATGGGAAGATGTTGTGACTAAAATGCTTTAGGAAGTTGTCTTTATTATTACCTATTCATTAGTTAATATGGCTGAAGCTATCCATGTGTCAGTCACTAATAGCCAATTCTCCTTTTTTTGTAGTTATTAAGAAATTTATGATTCAGGGTGGAGACTTCTCCAATCAGAATGGGACAGGTGGAGAAAGTATTTATGGTGAAAAATTTGAAGATGAAAATTTCTACTATAAGGTAAAGTAGAGGAGAAAGTGTATATTTTTGCTAACATAAAGGTTACACATGTGAAATATGTTTGTTGGATATTTTTTTTTTTTTTGTGGTGCTTGCACTTTTAAGTTATCTAGGGTCTTACACATACTAGGCAAGCCCTTACCACTGAGCTACATCTCCAGCCCAGCATCTATCTTACTGTGGAAGGTCTTCATCCAGTAATAATTTTTATTTGTCAAAAATACTCTATTATTTCTTTGTGGTAGAGTTTTTACATGCTTCGTTTAAGCCAATGAGTTCTCTTAAGATATGTGATAAGGCCCCAATAAATACCTGGGATGCTGAGTCTCTAATTGGCTTGATAAAATGAGCCCATATGGCAAATTGATTCCAGGAAAAATGTTTTTGTTGTAAAGATGATAATTTGTGCATCTTTATTCTTGAATTTGAAGAGCAACAAAAATCATCGCTAATATCCATGATGTCAGGGGATTTGCAAACTAGTGGATGTGGTTAATGTCCAAGCTTCTAAAGGACATTAGTGGTACCTGTGCCTTCTTCATTGGCTCAAGATCTAATCGGGGTATATTGCATCATTCAAGTTTTAAGAATGGACATGTAAGTACAAAAGTAAAGTGATATCTTTGGAAATGAGGAATATGAGCAAGGTAATGAGGAAAGTTTGAAAAGCAAATGTCATCATTCTTTTAAATAGTACTTATTGACTGTAGTTGTATGCTCAGTTCTATCACTGGAACCAGAAAGATTATAAAAATGAAAGGCCTTGATGACAAGGAATTTATAATTTTACCTTGGAGACAAGATTTAAAAATATGGGGCAACTAGAGAATAATAAGATACAAATAAATTCTAAATTGAGTGAATATATTTAACTTGTATAAATTTGATCCAGGTTGAGGATCCCTTGTATGAAATGCTGAGAAACAGAAGTGTTTCAGATTTTGGAGTTCCTTGGATTTTGGAATATTTGCATCTGCTTTCCCAGTTAAGCATCCCTAATCCCAAAATCTGAAATCTGAATTTGTGAATGCTACTGCACAAAAATTCAGATTTTGGAGTCTTTTAGATTTTGGATTTTCACATTAGGGATTCACAACTCAGTAATAAAAACTTTATGTGTGCTCTGGGGCAAGGATGTGATTTATATGGCCCAAGTTATTAAAGGAGACATTGAGGAGGAATGGGTAAACCTGGCCTTGCAAGGTGGCTGAAATTTTTTTAGGCAAGAAATAAAATAAGTAAAATTGAAGGATTATGGATGAGGACAAAGACAGTGGAAAACTGAGAAAAGTAGTTAATATTATAGCTAATGTTTTGAGGAAAGCACCAAAAGAAGCTAATGGAAGAATGTAAACCAAGATAATGTAATGATTTCATGCATACCAAAAAAAAAAAAAAAAAAAGGAAGCTTCTGGAAAGGAGACCTGCTTCTTGTCTTCTATAATCTTGGTAGCCTTGAAAGCTGAATTATTTAGATTGGAGAGATAAAAGGCATTTTAGGTGGAAAAACTTAGAGAGTTAGAATTTATCACCAATGAGGAGGTATTTACAAAGCCAAAGAAATAAAATAGAAAAATGAAGTTTTCATGACAGAACTATTGAACAAGGTAGAATTTTTATTTCAAGATGTAGGTAGCAGTTTCCTTTGTACACTCCCTGAAGAGTTAATTTACCTGATATAAAAGCCACAAGGTTTAGATTCTTTTGTGATTAGGAAAGTACCTTAACTGAATGACTAGTCAAATTCAATATCCCATTACTGTTCCCAGTTGATGGATGTGTAAAGGAAAAATAATAATGTAGGCCTATTACTGAATGTGGGAAAACCCTTCAGGTCTTCAAGAGCATCCATCATAAAAGGGTAGAAATATATTATTAGATTATTTTAAAAATGAAGTGTAAGCATCTTCTTAAAGTGACCAATTTAGAAATTAACCTCCATTTCAGTTATCTTATTTGATTTCATTAGCTTTTCCTAAAGTTTAAGAAGTGATCAAATACCCCCTATTTTGTTCATCGAAGGTTTCAGTTTATACAAAGTAAAGGTAATAGAACATTTCTTAAATAAAAGTGTAGTCTGGGTATGTAACTCAGTGTTAAAATACTTGCCTAGTATGCTAGAGGCCCTGGATTCAGTCCTAGTACCACAAAACAAAAACAAAAAAGTAAAGAAAGAAAAATTAGTTTGATTTAATGGTAGAATGGCTCATGTTACCAACCATCCTGACTTTATGTGAGTGGTCAGTAAAAGAACAGTTTAGATTAATATCCTAACTTTCATTTTCTTTGAATGATTTTTTTTTTTTCCTACAGCATGATCGGGAGGGTTTACTGAGCATGGCAAATGCAGGCCGCAATACAAATGGTTCTCAGTTCTTTATCACGACAGTTCCGACTCCTCATTTGGATGGGAAGCATGTGGTGTTTGGCCAAGTAATTAAAGGCATAGGTGTGGCAAGGATGCTGGAAAATGTAGAAGTGAAAGGTGAAAAACCTGTCAAAGTAAGTAAAAAGTTATAGTGAAATATACATATTGTCATAGTTTCTATCTTAAAATGTTCTAGTGATTATTAGCTGGAAAAATTGGAAAATGTTAGGATGATTTTGATTTAGGAGCCTGCATCTGTCACTTTATTTTTGTACCTGTTGTCTAAAGGAAGCTTTTTAATTCTTATTTCAAATTTAATGTATTTTTGCTAGATTACTTAAAAGTCTCCCTATACCAGCAAAAGTTTTGATCCAGTGTGTGTAATAATACACAGTAGAAAAAGGATAGCAAACCTAGATTCTTATTCTAGAGATTTGGCCTGATCATTTTACTGAATTTTTTTGGCCTGTTTTCCTCATCCATTGTTCCTAAAGTGTTTAAACTGTATGATTTCTGGAGATACTTGTGTTCTAGATGTCTGTGAATCAGAATGACCATAGTATTGTGCATCTTAAGTTGTAAGTGGGCATTGGAAACTTAGTTACTTGTAGGAGGCAGGCTTTGGCATTCAGAGTATGAAGGGAATTATAGTAAATTAAAAGTTCATACCTCACCAAAAGATAATTAACATGGAGAATGGTAAAATTAACAATTTACTGTGTGTACACTGAGCTTCTGAATACCTAAGTAGATAGTGATATTGTTATATTAGTTGGAATAAATAAGTAAAAAGGGCATTATTGTAATTATAATAAAAGTTTTCTAACTGAAGTCTATGACTTTGGTAGTGTTGTTATTTACAACTATATAGCTTTTAAAGAAGACTTTTTAAAATAATATTTCATTAATATGGTAGTATATTTCTACAATTCCATTATATTTTTACAGTTGTGCGTTATTGCAGAATGTGGAGAACTCAAAGAAGGGGATGATTGGGGAATATTACCAAAAGATGGCTCTGGCGATAGTCATCCAGATTTCCCAGAGGATGCAGATATAGACTTAAAAGATGTAAGTACTTTCAGATTAGTACTTTAACAAATAAAAATTTTTAGTGCAAAAAGTTTGGGATTTTGTATCACTCTGTATAATGATAAAACCTATTATATTACTTGTTAACTTCCAATGTGTTTGTATTCCTTTGTACAGGTAGATAAAATTTTACTAATAACAGAAGACTTAAAAAACATTGGAAATACTTTTTTCAAATCCCAGAACTGGGAGATGGCCATGAAAAAATATGCAAAGGTTTTAAGGTAATTAAACATTTTAAATAAATTACTGTTAAGATCTTGTAAATTGAATTATAAATTGAAATTCCAAATTCCTCATTGTATTTTGGCAAATTCCCTGTGGAATAAATAGCTGTGTTTGAAATAGCTGCATTTCTTTTGTTGCTGCAGCTTATTTTGAAAAATTTTAAAATACAGAAGAGTTGAGGTGTAGATAATATTGTATTTTTGCTATTATATAATATCGTGAAGGTGTAAATCAGTTTGACCAGAGTTTGTTCACTTTGTACCAGTGGAATGGATGTGTCTGTTCCAGGAGACCCTTTTCCCCATGAGGTGATACTGAGATTATATGGAAACCCAGAACCCAACAACCTTTGACACAGTAGTTTTAGTGTCATTAAAGATCCTTACCCATGTTTATTACACTAATTGTTGGAGAACTGTGATATTCTACAGTTGTTAGCTGGCATTCTGTGTAAGAAACCCCTGCCCTCCATTTGGTAATGTTGTAGACTTGCGGTTTTTTCATTTTGGTTTATTAATGTAGCAATACTGTGATTTTTTTTGGTACTCGAAGAGTTTAATATTCTTCAGTGGAAGCCCATTTCATTTTGACTTGCTGGTTTTTTTTTTTTTTTTTTTCAGTGATGGAGATTAAAGTTAGAGCCTCACAAATGCTAGGCAAGAGCTCTACCACTGAGTTATATCACCAGCCTCATTTTGACAATCTGTGATCACTTGCTTGCTTTCTGACACAAGATTTGTTTCAAAGTCATCTTATAATCACCTGGCTTTTGTATCTGGTATCAGCACTTTCTCTAAGGAGCTCTGATTAATTTCAAAGAAAGAAAAGTTTAGCAGCTCAATTCTGGGGGCTTGGTATGCTCAGTTTCTTGGTCTTTTTCAGTGAACAATTAAAAATGAACACTACATGGTTGTTCTTCACCTTTTGCCAGTCAGTACCCTCTGGTACCTTCCTGGTTCCAAATACAATTACATTGGAAAGTACCTAATGGGACCTGAGTTTTAACTTAGAGGTGTGTTACTACTACTGCACAATTGATTTGGGAAAATTTTTTTTTTTTTTAAACTGGGGGTTGAACACAAGGGTGTTATACCACTGAGCTAAATCCCCGGCTTTTTTATTTTTTATTTTCAAACAAGCATTGCTAAGTTGCTTAGGGCTTTGATAAGTTGCTGAGCCTTATCTTGAATTGGCATCCTTCTGCCTCAGCCTCCTGAGTTGCTGGAATTGACAGGTGTGTGCCACCACGCCTGACTCCTGGGAATTGTTTGTTCTTTTTGAACACTTTGGGAAAAAATGTTTTAGGAAATAAAAATACCTCAAAGAAAATGACCTTCAAAAGAAAAATAATGGGTATGGGAGTAGAGCTCAGTGGTAGACTGTGTGTTTATTAGGGTGCTCGAGTCCCTGGGTTCAGTCTCTGGCCCGTAACAAAAAATAAAAATAAAAAAATGTTTAATAAGAAGATTGTGAAGATTGGATATTAAATTAGTATCTGCTTTTTTTTTTAATATTTACTTTTTAGTTTTAGATGGACACAATATCTTTATTTTTATGTGGTGCTGAGGATCGAACCTGGTGCCTCACGCATGGTAGGCGAGCGCTCTAACTCTGAGCCACAACCCCAGCCCTAGTATCTGCTTTTTATATCAGAAATGATGTAACATTTTTTGGTATTTTTGAAGTAGTAGAGTAAGTCTTGTTTGTGTGGAATTACATACTGCTTTTATTAATTTTTTTTTCCAGATATGTGGATAGTTCAAAGGCTGTTATTGAGAAAGCAGATGGATCTAGGCTGCAGTCTATAGCCTTAAGCTGTGTGCTGAATATTGGTGCTTGTAAACTGAAGATGTCAAATTGGCAGGGAGCAGTTGACAGTTGTTTAGAGGTAACTCTGTAATATTGAACTTTTTGAAGGAGAGGGATTTTGGCTTACCAACTTGAACAAAACTACATTTTACATATCTGAATATGTCTTATTGCATATTGTCTCTAAATATTTTGGACCGTCAGAACTTCCTTTAAATCCATTCATTTTGCTTTTTTTAAATAAATTAAAAAAATTTTTTAGTTGTAGATGGACACAATACCTTTATTTTATTTATTTGTATGTGGTGCTGAGGATCGAACTCAGTGCTTCACATGTGCTAGATAAGCACCCTACCACTGAGCCACAAGCCTAGCCCCTCATTTTGCTTTTTAATCCTGTGTACTTAATATCTTTGAAAGACTTTCCTATTTTTCTCTTAAAGCATTTGTCAGTTCATGTATTCATTTGAGAGCACCTATTATATGCTAAGCATTGGAACACAAAGTTAGGAATGACTAGGTATGTGGGTTGTGGAGTTAGGCATGCCACACCCCCAGTGCCTTTACCATTGAACTCCACCCCCAGTCCCAGCATGGTTTTATTTATTTATTTTATTTTATTTATTTTTTAAATATTTATTTATTTTTTTTAGTTTTCGGCGGACACAACATCTTTGTTTGTATGTGGTGCTGAGGACCGAACCCGGGCCGCACGCATGCCAGGCGAGCGCGCTACCACTTGAGCCACATGCCCAGCCCTTTATTTATTTATTTTAAAATAAATTTTTAGTTGTAGTTGGACACAGTGCCCCTATTTATTTATTTATTTATTTTTGTGGTGCTGAGGATCAAACCCAGCGCCTCGCACATGCTTGTTGAGCTCTGTACCGCTGAGCCACAACTCCAGCCCCACCCAGCATGGTTTTTCAAATTAGACCTCTGCCATTCAGCTAATTTTGTGATCTTGTATAGATTCCTAATTTTTATAGAATCTGAATTTTGTTTTCTATAAATTGAAAATAATACCTACCAGATGGGATGGTTGTAAAAGATCATAAAGCAAGTTTTAAGTACTTAGCACTGTGCTTGGCAAATTTTATGTACCCAGTGAATTTAGTTTGTTTTTAATTACAAGATTCATATTTCCAAGAAACTTAATAGATTTAGTTTAGGAGGGGGCCAGTTTCTATTTAGGGTCATCACACCTTGTATGGGAGAATGTGTACTATTTGGAACACACAGAAAGGTCATTTGTCTTTATGAGGGCTATCCAGTTACATTAACTGATAAAACTAGAAAGCATTACCTTTCTCAAAATAGATCGATTATGACTCTCTTTCCTGTTATATAGTTGTTTGAAAGTATTTCCAAACTAAATGTTTTGATTTTTGCCCACTAAGCTATAGATTAGCTATAGAACTGAAATGAGATTCTATACTAGGGGTGTAGTTAAGTTGTAGAACACTTGCCTAGCATTCATTCATGAGGCCCTGGGTTGAATCCCAACACTGCTACATTAAAAAAAAAAAAAAAATCTGCTTAGGATAGGTGAATAGAGGATAAGAAAATATATTTGCAGTTTTGGGATCAAATCTAAGACTCTTACTCATGTAAGGCAAGTGTTCTAGCAGTGTATACCCCCATACCCCCAGTCCTAGAATATATTTAGAAGGGAACATACAACAGAGGAAAAAACTTAAAAAAGAAAAAATTGATCTTTACTCTGGGTCTCCATAACTTGTGAGGCAGATGTTTCCTTTTCAGTAAATCTGTGATTATTGGCTTTTAAAATATATAAATAGAATGTTAATTTAAAAATACTTATTTTAGTGAAAAGATCTTTATAAAGTTACTCATGTTCCCAAGAAATTTAGATTTCAATTAAAAGCATGTATAGTTGGCCCTCTGTATCCATGGATTCCATATTCTAAGATTTATCCAGCCTCAGACTGAAGATTTCTTTTGTACTAAACATGTGAAGACTTTTAAATATATGGGAGGAAAGGTATAGGTTATTATATGCAAATACTGAACCATTTATATTAAAAATTTAAATATCTCCAGATTTAATTTGTAGGGGGTGAGTTGAGCTGTCCTGGAACTATTCCAGAGACACTAAGGGACAACTTACAAACTTTCATTTACAGTGTTTTCTTTTATAAATACATTAGTTAGGACTGAGTCTGGAGAGAGAGAAACCACAGTGCTGAGGAGCATGTTAAAGATATGGACAAGAAACACCTTCTTCCTCCATATAGTGCCCTCTGCTGACAAATTGTCACACTGTGCCAACTGGCAAAAGAGAGCTGTTCATAGTCTTCAGCTGAAGTGGATTTGAAGGTGTCAGGCAATAAATGAATCTGAAAAATGTATTTATTTAGATAGTTATAATTTTTAAATTTTGTAGGCTCTTGAAATGGACCCATCAAATACTAAAGCACTGTATCGAAGAGCTCAAGGATGGCAAGGATTAAAAGAATACGATCAGGCACTGGTAAATTTTGTTTCAAATGTTTTACAATAAACAGTCACCTTTGTAAATTAGATCTTAATTTTTCACAACTTTTTTTTTTTTTCAATTAAAGGCTGATCTTAAGAAAGCTCAGGAGATAGCACCAGAAGATAAAGGTAGGTTGGCTGTTTTTGTAGTCAAAGTTCATTTTGCACTTTAAAATTATGCTCATGAACTGTTGTACTCTTAACTTTGGCAGATATCAGGCATTTGTTCAGTGGATCTTACAGAATGACTGTTACTGGGCCATGTATATCAGTGAATAAGACAAGGTCCTCCCCTGATAGAGCTTGTTTTCATTCCTCTCAAGAATGCACTAGTTTTTCACAGTGCACTTAATATGGTTTGTTCTGCCTTATCATTTGAGATCCTGTTTTGTTACTGTGACACTCTTTGAAAGGTCAATACTCAAGTATAGTATTCATTGTAAATCTAATTTTTGGGGCCATTCCTTCATGGCAGTAATCTAGTATTCTAGATACTGGATATGTTTTGGAAAAGCTATGACAAATAAATCTATTTCTTTAAAATAAGCCAAAAGTGAATAGCAACACCAGATCTAAATATTTATCTCTTTGGTCCCTTGTTGCTAAAATAAAACAAGGTAGCTACTACTCTCTCTAATGGAGATGGAGAAACAAGTATTGATGTGATTGAGTTCTCTCAATTGGCAGTCTTCTGAAATTATGCTTCAGGGTTGTTGTGAACTCTGCTTTCTTGGAATAGAGTTTTCTGTTAATAGGGTTGTTATTTTATCCAGAAGAAAAGTTTTGTCAATGGGGAGGAGGAGTTGTGATATTATAATCGTTTGTTGGTCATCCTAATCTTTTTGTTTTGAGAAATAACTCATTGCCTATTTTTTTGCAGCCATCCAGGCAGAATTGCTGAAAGTCAAACAGAAGATAAAGGCAGAGAAAGATAAAGAGAAGGCAGTATATGCAAAAATGTTTGCTTAGAAAGGATTCAATTTTGCTTAAATATTATGCATTTATTGTATAAAGGCAATAAGACAATGTAAGAGTTATTGTCTATATGTGATTGCTAATGTGATTCCTTTGACATTTCAGTTCTTCATTGTTTACACTTTAAAATACTGATACAGGTTCCCTGTTAATAAAAAGTGGCAAAAAATACAGTGAAGTTGATTTAAAAATTCTATCTGTACTTTCACAAAGAATGGTGTGCAGTTTGCTTTTTTTTTAGTATTTATATTTTAGTTATAGGTGGATACAATTTTTATTTTATTTTTATGTTGTATTGAGGATCGAATCTAGTGCCTCAAGCGTGGTAGACAAGCATTCTACCTCTAAGCCACAACTCCATACCTCCAGTTTGCTTTCAAACTCCTTAAGTTATATCTTGTTGAATGAATTGATGAACACTTGTTTGTATATTGTTTCCCTCAATCCTTATACATTATGTGGTAAGTTTGTGCTGGTGTTTTATGCTTAGAGATGACACATAGGATTTGGCAGTTTTTCTGTGAAGGGCCAGATAGTAAAATTTTTACAGTCACCATCTAGTCTGTCACAATTACTCAGTTCTGTAGTTATAACTCAAGACAGTGTATAACCGATGGGCATGGCTGGTTCAGTAAAACTTTATTCATAGTAAGTGCTGAGTTAGATGCTAATCCCTGGTCTAGAATGTATATTCATTTTTATATTTGAAGATTTAAATTTGGTAAATCAACTGTATAGTAAAGCCCAATAATGCATTTTGCTGTTGGTGCTGAAATCTTGAACAATCAAAGAGGTAAGTAAATGCTACATAATTTTTAGTTTTATTGTAAGAGGAAAATGTTTCATAATTTTTATGGGATAATTTTACATAGATATAAAACATTTATTTCACCAATAGTTATTTTGTGAAGGATACTTGTTAACTTCTAAATATTTTAATGTTAGTTTGCTATACATTTTAAATGTAAATGTGCCTGAAATGAAATAAATTGCAGTTTACATTCCATTATAAGCTGGTCCTCCTCCACCTTCGGGCACCACCCAGTTAATATTCTGACTTGGATCTTTAATATCACATGTTTTACAGTGCACACAGTTCTGAGCATTTATCTGTAACCGAAATCCATCACCTTGTTCCAAAGGTACAAATTCATAAACTCCTGAAAGTAAAAATGAATAATGTTAATGGAGTGGTACTAGGGATTAAACCTTGGGCCTTGCATATGCTTGACGAGCACTCTCTAAGCGGTATATCCTTAGCACTTTAAATTTTTCTTTTTTTTAAATTTTGACATGGTCTTGCTAAGTTGCCTAGACTGGTTTTGAACTTGTGATCTTCTTTCCTCAGCCTCCTGAGTAGCTAGTATAACAGGGGTATGTCACCATGCCCTGATCAACAGTAGAATTAAAAATCCTCATCTGCAGAAACCTTAGAAGTTGTTTTCTGTCATTATATAATGACAATCTTGGTGTGTGCTGCAGGCTGCTGTTAGTTTATAAATGTATATAATAAAATGAAGTAGAGCAGTACTGACTGGGTGAGTCTAACCAAGGGTCTTTGGTACTTAGCCATCTTTGAGGTACACAAACACACACACACCCATGCTATAGCTAATAAAAGAAATCCACCTCTTGTCCTCAGGGAGTTTATAACCCCACAGTGATAACCTGATTTCTTAAAAGAAAAAAAAAAAAAAAAAAGTCTAAAAAAGGTCCTTGCATTCGAAGGGCTTGCTTACATTCTAATTTCACTTGAGAATGTATTTATTTTCACATATCTGTATACTGTTGGTTCTACCATAGCATTTGAGACCTGGTTTGGATTAGTTTAATCTTAGCTGAAAGCAGTAAGAAGATATCATATTCATGGTGAATTTAAAGTTTAGGACCACTCTTGAACTCAGTATGGCCGTAACCTACTCTAGCATGTGTGTGCACACAGGAGCTTCCATGACAAAAGTAACTTTTTAATAACTGTTCTTTGTTACAAGAGCAGAGGTGGTATTTTGTGTTCTATAATCCTTATCTTGGTCTGACATTTCTGGAGAAATGTCATCTGAATTAGGTTTAACCAAAATTCCCTATTATTTTATCATTGTTAACTATTAATGCTAATTGCAAACTCATTTAGGTATGAATTTCCTAAAAAGAGCTGAATATAGTGGTCATAACAACAATCTCCAAGCAATGGAAATAAATAATTCCTAAATGGAATCATTTCTAAAATATTTGAAGCAGATATCTATTAATATTTAGGAATGGAAGGAAATTATTACCTGCAGGGCAGAATCGCTGCTCAGGCCCATCATATATTGATAGATTTCTGTTTACAGGTATGCTGTCATCCTTTAAAGTTAAATGTGCTGGCTGGTCATGTTCATGATTAGTACCACTTAAAGCCACAGATGACAAGAGATCAAAACTGATCTGTCCATCAGGTTTTGGATATTCAATAGGTGTGCAATCTTTGGCTGGCTTAAGCTGATCAGAGTCAGAACCTTCAACAATTTTCAGAAAAATGTTTAATATAACAACAGTTTTCAAGTATATGTATGTTTTTTGATGCTGGGGATTGAACCCAGGCTAAGCACACCCTCTACCACTGAGCTTTATCTCCAACCCTCCCTACATTTCTACCTCTTCATCAGTGCCTTGTACAAGGTAGGCAAGTGTTCTTAACACTGAACTGCACCCCTTCCCACCCTCAAGTACTTTCTTAACATTATAAAAACCTGAAAATACGCCAAAGAAATATGGCTTTAATCCTCTAGTTACAGATCTTTGAAAGACAGCAATTATAATTTCTCTAAGCAAGCAAGCTTATAAAACATGAAAAGATAAGGTCTTTTTCTCCATTAATTAATAGATCCCATTTATAAGCTTTTAAAGATTATAACATTGACATTTAAAATGTTTGAATTACCTTTATGTTTTAGGGTCCATGGTTCCATTCCTCTCAATATCCAGTAAAATATTCCAGTGTAAATCATCCCTCCATATAAACCCAATGCTCCATGGCAGGAAGGTCTTATATTTCTAACAGAATACAGCTCTTTCCACACCCAAGATTTCTTCAAATTGTCCTCATACTCGGTTACATGGAGTCCTTTCATGAAAAACATGAAATGTTAACTGTAAAACAGCCTTAAGCTGCATAAAATACTCTATTAAGGTATTTTGATAATGAAATATCTGATTAGTAAGTCATAAGTAATTTTTAAATGTTGGAATCTTCCCAAAAGATAATAATTTGATATACATGTTTGTTGACAGTAAACATTTGCTTTTTATTATTATTGTTTTTGGGTGCTGGGGATCAAATCCAGGTCTTTGCTTATGACAGGCAAGTACTCTACAATTGAGCTACAGTCCCAACCCTGAATACTTAACACTGGTAGTAAAGAAAATTAGTTTGAAAATTCAGCAAAACTGAGAAGAAAACTTAAAAAGTTCATGCTACCTGTAAGTGAAAATTTGTATAGTTCATCACGGAAAATACCAACTGTGTCTGGATTGAAATATTTCCATGTGAAAATGTATTTTGAAGTCCTAAACTCCAAAATTTAAGACTTTCACTTTATAATAGGGTGGTTCCAGATGTAATTAAGGATTCCTGGAGTAGAATGGGTCCCTAATCCAATATGACCAGTGTTTTTTAAAAAGATGGAGACAGAGACTAAATTGCCAGAAGCCAAGGAATGTTTAAGGCTACCAGAAATTGGGAAGGCAAGATAAGATTCCTCTACAGAGACTTCAGAGAGGCAATATTCCTGTTAATCCTTGACTTTGTGCTTCTAGCTTACAGAACTTGGAAAGAATAAATTGTTGTTTTAAGTTACCTAGTTTAGGGTACTTTGCTATGGTAGCTCTAGGAAATTGTAATACCTAAAATATGGTACACTACTTTTAGGATTTAAGAAGACAATTGATTCTTCTCATTGTCTTTCATGAACTCCACAGTGACTATGCTTTTTTCAGTTATTGTTTCCTGTCCTCGCTTCACTCCCTTTTCTCACAGGCTTTATTCCTTGCCTTTTGTGATACACTGGCTCTAGTACTATGTTTGGTATTATGGGTATATGATACAGTTGAAGTATGGCTGGTGGTCCAATAAGGAACAATACTTGACAAAAACATTAGGAAAAATTTCTACCCAACCATTCCATTTCTGACTTAACTTTTCTGTGTTGTACCTCATCCCCTTCCACTCCCACATGCAAGGCCTCCATTCCTACAAAGACATTTGAAGGCATAACCAAGCTGCATAGTTTTTAATTTTCTACAGTGTTCATGCTAGGTAATTACTCTACCACTGAACTGTAACCTCCCATCCCCCAAGTTGTGTAATTCTAACTCGTGGAACATTTGTTATCTGTGATTTTAAGGAATAAAGCTATTATCAAGTTATCCAGTTACTGTACTGGGTGCCAGGTCTTTAGGATTCAAAATGAACAAAGTCCTTGCTCTCTTGGAGTTTTCATCTAAGTGGAAAGTGTAAAAAGTATAAATAGGTAAATGATATAGTATGCCAAAAGGTGGGAAATGCTGAAGAAAAGTGTTGGGGGTGGGGATGGGAGTGCTACATATTGCAGATTAACTGTTGTGGGCAAGAGAGGGTCACTAGAGTGAAGTTTGAACAAAGGTAAAGGATGAATGAGGGAGCAAGTTATGAGCAAAGACCTTAAGATAAGAGCAAGCATGGCATGTTTCAGGAATTACAAAGAGGCCCATGTGGCTGGAATGGAGAGTGATAAAAGGTGAAGTTAGAGGGGCAGGGTAACTTTGGTTTTGAGAAAAACAGAATCCCTTGAGGGTCTATTTAGATAAAGGGTTTACTGAGGTGTGAGTGCTGGCTGTTCTTCTCTACTACATTAGAAGAGTCATATATATGCCTGTGCTTGCAGTGTTTGCTAAGGAATGCACGCTGGTATTTGTGCGTTAGTAGTGTGTGCCTTACATGTATGCAGTGTAAATGCAGTATTGTCAAACCTGGAATAGATTCTGGGGACACCACTGGTACTATTTTTTTTTTTTTTTTTTTGCTACATAGGAGACTAAGCCCAGGGGCACTCTACCATTGAGTGCATCCTCACTTTTTATTTTTATTTTGAGACAAGGCTTGCTAAATTGTGGAGGTTGGCCTCAAACTTGGTATACTCCTTCAGCCTCTAGAGTTGCTGGGATTACAGGCATA